AAAATTTCAGTTCTGGTGACTTCAGGATCATGTATAAATACATTTGAAAACTTTTCTTTCAAAAATCGTTTGAAATCATGAACAATGTTTCTGTGGGTTTCAAGCAATTCCTTCCCGTGGAAAGAACTGCTCTGATACCAAAAGCTGTGACACCCGTAACCCGTCTCCCGCTCACGAGTTGTGCCACATGGACGCCCAAATATATAATAAAATAGCGGGAATTTAAAAACAGATTCACAGTTCTTGTTCGGTATTTTGCTGTGCAGGATATCAGATGACGATTTAGTTATCAGTTTGAGCATCCGTATGGGAGGTTCTCTCCTGATGGAAGATGACGAGTTATAGTACGTTGGTGATTATATAAAAAAGTTTGAAAGGCTAATTGATGTTGATTATTTTTCATGGTTCTCGGTTGCGGACATAGTGAAGGATAAGCAATTACCACCTATTGTTACAATTTGGTTTAAAAAATTAGAAGAGACGATGTATACATTGAGACCAATCCGAGAAGATATAGATTCAGGGATAAGGGATATGATTATGTTGGCGAGGATGTGTTCGGAAATAGATATTTTCATTGAGCATAAGGTTAGTGATGGTCCTATTATATCAGGCTTACTATGTCAAGAGGAAGCTAGTGATGGATTACATTGTGATAAAGGTGATGGGGTTGGTGAAGAGGGTTTACGTACTGGTTTAGGGGATGAGATTGGTAATGGTGTTGATGTTTATGTAGATGATGTTGATGATGATGTTGTTGATTTAGGAGATGGTACTGATGATGTTGGTTGTGGTGGTGGTTTAGGAGATGGTATTGATAGTGTTGGTGAGGATGTTAGTGATGGTGGTGTTGGGTTTGTTGGAGAGGGTGGGGGTTTCGGACATGATACACATAATGCATAGTATGGTGAATATGTAAGTGAACCAGAAATGCATGATAAATACAGTGAATATCCTAGTACATCAGAAATCAGTGTTGAGGAGAAAAAGAAAGATTTGGAGAGTAAGAGAGGAAAAGGAACCCAATGTTTGAGGGGTCAGATAGCTCTGCAGAACATAGGTGTTGAATGAGAAGAGTTTTCACAGTTTTTGGAAAAAGTGAAAAAATCGACAATCAAATTTTTTTTAATTTGGTTTTCTTAAAAACTCGGAAATCTACTCTATGAAAAAAATCAACTAAAATCCAAAAAGTACATTTTTTCTAGATTTACAAACTTATAAAATCTAAAAACCAAAAACCAAAAACTAAAAACCAAAAACCAATAACTAAAACCAAAAACCCAAAATAAAAACCAATATCATTCAAGGCCATAGTCTATTCCTGAGTAAGACTTTTAATATTGGAGGTGATCTTAAGGAGGAATTAGTGCAATATGTGTTGGATACAAAGTTCAATGTCAAGTTCTCAAGGTGTGAAAGTAGAAAAATTGCTGTAATTTGCTGTGAAAAGTATTGTCCTTTGGAGAATCTATTGCTCGATGCATACAAGGTTGAATAGGTGGATGATAAAGACATTCATTGATGGCGACAACCACCCTAAGAGGAATCACTCAGATTTGTTGAATTCAAGGTATATAACAAAGATATTCCTCGAAGATCTAAGGAAAGAACCATCTCTTTCGGCTAATAAGATTCAATCCCGGATGCAAGAGAAGTTTAAAATGATGATGTCACGTTGTCAATGTTTTAAGGCTCGTCGTATCGCTTTGGGGACACTTGTTGAAGATCAGTCTGCTCAGTTTTCTAAGCTTTGGGATTATGAGGTTGAGATTCATAGAAGTAATCCCAACACCTCAGCTGAGATTGGTACAACAATAGGAAAGAAAGGTGAAATCCTTTTTGACAGGTTATGCATTTGCTTTGAGGTATTGTTGTTAGAATATTTTATAAATATTTGAAATTAATATGATTCAATATTGGATTTAAATCATGGATTTTGTAACAGTAGCTATTGATGAGGTATAAATGTGATCATTTATGAAATATGCCTAAATCGTAATTTCGGTAAAGTTTAGGAGCTAATGTGCAGATACCAAAAAGTAATTTCCTATAACTTGATGGTCGATAAATAAATATAAGTGTGTCAGATATATATGTATGCGTGTAACATGTATATGCATATCTATCTATATAATAAAGTATGTATACATAAAAATCATAAAAAGAAAACAAACAGAAGAAGACGCACTCATTTTGTATGATTAACTGCAATTGCCCGACAAATTATCTCCTTAAGCAGAAGCAGAGACACATTCCCAGGGGGAACACAGAGAGGAGTGAGTCTGAGAGAGATATTGGGTTCGCTTTTTTGGTTAATAACTGAATAAGCGAATAACCGAATAATGCATAACCGTAACCGAACCGAATTAAATGTAAAACCGAATGGTTATGATTTTTCTAAAAGCGAAAAAATCGAACCCGAACCTGAACCGAACCGACCATAAATTTTCTTAAAAAAATGAGTATTTTTTTATCATAACGGAACCGTATCCGAACCGAATATAACCAAACCGAACCGAACCGAATATAACACAAAAACCGAATGGTTATAGTTGTTCTAAAATCGAAATAACCGAACCCGAAAATAACCGAACTGAACCCGAACCGAAACCCGATTAAGCCACCCCTAGATATTACGAGTGAACTCTTGGAGAATTCAGGAGGAGTTTTTGGAGCAACACGCATAGCCAGCGAAGAAGAGGTGCAAAAATACTGAGCAATTTTTTTTTCATGGCTCTATTTTACTATGAATCTCTCCTGGATTTTTATTGTTGTTGTTATAATTTCTATGGCTCGTGAGTAGTTTCTCCATCATTGTAGGTTAGGGATTGAAAATTGTTATGTAATAATTTCGTGTTTGAGTCATCTTGAAATTATGGTTTTATGATTTGGATCGAATGAATAGGTTTTAGTGCTATGAATTATATTGGCCATATGATTTGTTGATCTTAGAATTTAAATTTGCATAGAGATATGAAATTTGAATTCTGAAATTATTCATCGATTAAATGATTTTCGCATCGAGAGACAGTTACATCGTTTAGTAATTGTGATAGCATGCTTAATGATCTTACGAGTTTTAATTTATTTAGAACCGAGAGGTCGGTAGATTTAAACTCCCGAGATATGAGGTGAGATTCGAGAGAGTAATCCTCGACAAACGACCTTGAATTCCCCAAACCGTAATCATAGTTATCGAGATATATCTCTAGAATTAATTTTTGCATAACCCGAAAAATCCTGACACCTACATTGTTTTAAATTGAATTGTGTTAAAAACATTATTTGTATTTATTTTAATGATCTTAGGAGTGCTAAAAACCACACGTGTCCTTATATTCGACCCTAGAATACTAAGATTGACCGGTACACTT